CCCTCTCTCTCTCTGTCTCTCTCTCTGTGTCTCTCTGTCTCTCTCTCTGTCTCTCCCCCTCCCTCCCCCTCCCTCTCTCTCTCTCCCTCTCTCTCTCTCCCTCCCTCTTTTGTCTCTTTTTCCATCTGTCGGTCAGCTCTTGACCCGAGCTGCTGACGCTGTCCCCTCTGTTTACTTTACCAGAATCCATCACACAGCCGTACAGCTCGCCTCGCTCCGGCTTCCTGCGCTCTGAACCCAGAAATGTCTGTATAGCACCTGAACATGTTTCTTTAGGCCACCGCAGAACTATTTACAGCGCCGTAAAGAGCATTTTTTAGAAAAAATAAAATCGAATGGTTTTCTCAGCGTCGCTGTGACATAAAGAACCTTTGACGAGAATATGAAATGTTTCCAATCAGCAGATCTTTCTCTTCAGAGCCACATAGGGTCATTACTGTGTTTCACCAGGTGCTGTTTTTATATGAAACATATCAGGTGGATTTTTAAATCATTTTGGTTCCATTTGACTGGTAACCCAACTTTACAAGAACTTCCTCTCGACCCAGCCCAGTGTGGTTCTGCAGTGCAGCTAAATAAATACATTAAAATGCTCGTGGTCGTCCGCAATGCCACATCTGGCGAGGTGATATCTGGTGGATTACACTGTGTTTCTTACAGTGGTTGTTATGCTGAGTATTGGAAACCATTGTACCACGTTTTGCCATCCGTCGCGCCTTCAAACGCATTGATTCTGTTACTCCTGGATCATATTTCCTGTCTCGCTGGTCGCTGAAGCACCTATCCAGTAACAGTACACAGAACCACCGGGGAAGCAGTCAATGGAAACTGTTGACAAATAACCGGCAGGCTCTTCCAAAAAATACTCGGTAGGTGATTGGAGGAACCATCTGTTCATCAAACGAAGTGAGTCGGTAGACGAGTGGAAACATCTTTGCCATCGAGAAAAGCCTTCAGTGCCACTCTCTTTGGTTGACTCAACTTTTTAGGAGCCTCCATTGCCGTCATCTCTCCATGTCGTCTCGCCCCAAATCACATTGCATGAAGCCTGACGAGATGGACTTTCGTGTGATATGTGATGATCACGTGATATTGATAATCCATCTGCCATGCAGGGTAACCCTAACCACACCTTCACCATCATGTATTTGCCATAACCACAATCTTCACCTGGCCCTAACTATACCGTAATATACACACAAATATTGTATACATTTTTTATTAAAATACTGGCATTGAACTTAATCTGCGTTTTTGCTGGATTGTCTAATATCGATGTTTTAGTCTGGAGATGGAGTTGCTTTACCAAATGTCTTCATTGGTCCCTCTGTTCATCTTCCCGTCCTCCTTCATCCCTTTGTGCCTCCATTCCTTCTTTTCTGGCTCATTTTGACCCTAAACTATATGGATAATAGCACAATGCACCACCAATCAGTCATGTGATTAAATCATGTTCTGTCCATAACACGACGTCCTGTATCAACGGTTTTGGAAAAAGGAAGTCTGGCCCCATATATCTGCATATAGCCGATAGCCAATGGGTTCAGAGATCGGACTAGATATTGTCGATGTTAATAATATAGAATGATGAGGTTATTACATTTTAAATGGAACTCCCTTATTGCTCTTAAAGTCTTCCTACATGCTGCTGCTCTCCACTCAAACCACTGGTTTATTTTCACCATATTAGGGCGTTTACAGTAATTGGTGGTATTTAAAGTTGATTACAGCCAGAAGCCAGACAGTGAAAGAAAGTGCAACTGTTGCATGCTGAACGCTGCCAAATCCAGCTTTTCGGATATTTTCTTTAGGAATACACCGATTTCGACTTTAAGGGCAGTGATTATCGTGTGGAAGATCTCTTTTCCCCTGGAGACTGACTGCAACATTGTTCTCACCGAAGCATAACTCTGGCTTCTCAAATGACTTTCCCAGTCATGATGAGGATGTCGGAGCCTGAGGGATTGCTGTCTGAACCTTTACCCGTCTCTGTGGGAGTCCTCCAAGGCTGTGTGCCGGGCCCGGGAGCATTTCATCCACCGCCGTCCAGTAATGTTGCAATCACACCTGGGAGTTCCCCCCACGCACAGCCTAATACAATGATGCAGGTTGTAGACGGTTTAAGACGAGACGAGAGACTTATAAAGTACATTTGAACCACTTCATCAAAGTGACAGCCGTGAAACAATGAAGCTACTAGATCAGTTACAGGCAGTAATAACCAGTAACTGAAGGTTTGATCCAGAGAAACATCTGCTTCCAGATCAGAATCTTTAGAAGTAACCAGAAGAGCACAGGGTCAGTGTGTCGGGCTGCATCACAGCTAACGTGAGGTGTGTTTCATTATTGTTGTCATGACCTCCTTTAGTTAACTTGAGCTGAACACAGTTCTTCATTTTTAGTCAATATTCATAAAACAAAAACTCTTTGAGCGGTTGTAAAACTTGACAAAGCGTTCCTGATGATCTCACAGCCTCTCCTGTGAATCAATGCTGAATAATAAACTGTTGCATGTGCATCAACCCAAAGTCTTTACAAACATCTTATAGCACGAACCGCTTCAGTCATCAAAGATTATGAAGTACACAACCCCTCTCTTGTTTCTGGGTACAGGAAACGGAACTAGTGGAACTTTGTCTTAATTCATCTCCCTGGCCTCGGTCCAAACCCCGCTCCTCCTTTCCTTGCTTCCTTTCTTCTCGTTCAGGAGGATGAATGTCTGCAGTTTAAAGACCTTTTTTTAAATTTTCCTCCGCAGCATGAGCGTAGTGTGTGTGTGTGTGTGTGTGTGTGTGTGTGTGTGTCCAAGTTTCCACAGAGACCTGCGGTTATGTCGTTCCAAGTATTTGATAACCCGGTGAGGTATTGTGGTGAGAATAGGTCACCCCCCGCCCATCTCTCCTCCTCCTCTGATTTTCTCTCCTTCCACACTCTTTTCCCATTGTCTTCTCTTTCCTCTGGTCGTATCTCTGTCCCTCCTTCGTCTCTCCATCTTTAATATCTGCCCTTCTCTCTATCATCATCATCATCTCATCTCCTTGACCTTAGACAACTCTTTCTTTCTTTCTCTCTCTCTCTCTCTCTCTCTCTCTCTCTCTCTCTCTCTCTCTCTCTCTCTCTCTCTCTCTCTCCCTGTCTTCGTCTATGTCTCTCTGTAATCATCATTACAGGGTTGATTACCTGTCATTATGGCTCATTAGGGGTCTATCAGCATGGCGGCAGGCGGGGGGGGGGGGGG